AAACAGAGGAAGAGGAAACAGAGGAAGAAGAAACAGAGGAAGAACAAACAGGAAGAAGAAAGAGAGGAAGAGGAAACAGAGGTAGAGGAAACAGAGGAAGAAGAAAACAGAGGAAGAGGAAACAGAGGAAGAGGAAACAGAGGAAGAGGAAACAGAGGAAGAAGAAACAGAGGAAGAACAAACAGGAAGAAGAAAGAGAGGAAGAGGAAACAGAGGAAGAGGAAACAGAGGAAGAAGAAAACAGAGGAAGAGGAAACAGAGGAAGAAGAAAACAGAGGAAGAGGAAACAGAGGAAGAGGAAAACAGAGGAAGAACAAACAGAGGAAGAACAAACAGGAAGAAGAAAGAGAGGAAGAGGAAACAGNAAACAGAGGAAGAGGAAACAGAGGAAGAGGAAAACAGAGGAAGAACAAACAGAGGAAGAACAAACAGGAAGAAGAAAGAGAGGAAGAGGAAACAGGAAGAACAAACAGAGGAAGAGGTAACAAGAAGAAGAAACAGAGGAAGAGGTAACAGGAAGAAGAAACAGAGGAAGAGGAAACAGAGGAAGAGGAAACAGAGGTAGAGTTTTCAAACACTTCATGTCACTCAAACAAACCAACATTGAAATAAACAGCTGCTGGAAAGAACGATTGATTAGTTTTCTACACTTTGAAACTTTACTTCCACCAAGGTTCTGTTTCCATCTGTGCTGGTTAGTTTGTCTGTGAACAACATTATATAAAAACTACTGGACAGAATACCACAAAACTTGGTGGAAGGATGCAGAATAGATCAGGGAAGAACCCATCACATTTTGCTGTGGCTCCGGATCCTGCACTCACATCTCCAGCTATCTCCTGAAAAATAGTCCGGAACTGCTGATCCTCCTCGCTCTCCTCCCCCGCCGAGGCCGGTGCCGGCTGAGGCGTCGTGGAGCCGCAGAGCAGAGAGAGAGAGAAATGAGACGAGAAGGGAAGAACACGTGGAGATCATGTTGATGAACATACTGAGGGAATCTTTTATATATATATATATTTTTTTTTTTAGTGTACGACTTTGTTTCCCAAAGAGCTAGAGGAGAATTGAGAGACTTTCAAATACCATGACTCACCACTGGATGGTCAGCCTCGATCCTGTTCTCTATCTCCCTGGATGAAGACCAACAAACAGCAGTCACCATGGTGACAACAACATCTCATCTGGACCATAAGCCTGTACAATAATGTTACCTACGAACACAGATCTACAAATCATCTCATTCTTACCACACATTAAATAAACTCTTAGATCCTGAGCTGCAGAAACATCTCGTCACATACTCACATTGGACAAAAAAAGAGCAAAAGTGATTGTAATAAATAAGCTGTGAATAAAATGCGTTAGTTTAGCGCCACCTGGTGCCTCCTCCAGTGGCAACACGTTCTCTTGAATTGTCTCATTAAGGGTCGTAGTAGTCGTCGTCTCCTGCTTTTACAAATTTGAGTCGAATAGGATTTAACGTCAACTCTACAGCAGTAGGAGGCTGTCAATTAATTAAGTATCTGATCTGAAATACAAGGAGGTTAAAAACTAATGTTAATAACACTGATTTATTTCAAATAGAAAGATGCTCTGGTGATAAACAAGTGATTATGTGCATGATCCACAGCAGCAGCAGTGCCCCCCTCCCCCCTCCTCTCCGTCAAAAAAAAAAAAAAAAAAAAAAAACATGTTGGGGAATCTGTTTGGCTGCGCACATCCATCACAGCCTGATTCACAGCTGGGTCTCGGTCCATCAGAGTGCAGGGGCCCGGCTCTGTCTGGTCCTCCTGTTGTCAGGGGCAGCAGGGGGGGTGGGGGGGGTGGATGTTTGTCGAGGCTGGGGTATGCAGCACTGAATATTTTGAAAGTTTACCGGATCGTGCCCAAATCTGAAGTCGCTTGTCCTAAAAAAGATTCCATAACAGCTTCGAACTGGGGCCGGTTTCTTCCAGCTCTACAAATCAAATTGCCGTTAACATGGTTTGTTCTTGGTGGTTTGAGTCCCACCCACCAAACAGCCCCCCCCCCCCCCGACAAAAATAGCCCACCCCTCATTCAACAAATAACACAAACTAATGCACACAGATGACACATCACTGTTAATCTAACTCTGACCGCCTGCTGCTCTCAACAAGAACAAGCAGGGCCGGGTATTCTGACTTCCACTGAGGACGTTAAGTGTATATTTATAATATAACGCAAATACTACTGGACGCGTTACCGGTGCAGAACCACTTTCTTTAAACATTCTTTGACATTCTGATTTCTCAGGGAACAGTTCCTGGATTAATTAGACACAGGGACGTTTAGGGAACCGGTATTTGGGTTTGTGGAATATGGTGAGTGAATTTAAACGTGGTTTTTTAAAAGGAGACTTCTCTTCATCTGAAGAATTGAAACATCATCTATCAATTAATCAATTTTTGCTGATCTCCATATAATTAATTGGTGATATTTGCTGGCTCCAACTTCTTGAAATTAGAATCGAACTTTTATAATATCTGAGTTCTGTGTGGGAGATTTTGCTGGAGTGTCTCACAGAGATGATGAAAATAACCTGTTTTCAGTTTATTTCCTGAGGGAAAATAGATAAAAAATATCTATAAGTACCATGAACCAATATGATTCTCCTAAATGAAGTACTTCAATACCCAGCCCTGCTTTTAAACATAGGATGAACATCAGTGGAATAAAATTAGCATCTTCTAACAAACACATCTATCTGTCTCCACACTATGTACCCACTCAGGCCGCCCAGCCTCCCCCCTGCAGCCTCCCTGCTCGCCCTCACCCACTCACTCTGAGGTGTTCTTCTTCTCAGAGAAGACTCGCAGGATGAACTCCCCCTCCTGGTGCGGCTCGTACGTGGAGGGCACGATGACGTACTCCCCGGGGCTCAGGCGGAAGCGCTGGGTCACCTCACGCAGGTTGATGTAGGACTTGCAGCGGGCCTTGGAGGAGTTGAAGAGGAAGAAGTCTTTCTGCATGTGCTGCTTGTTCCCATGCATCTGGAAGGAGGGAGTCAGGATGGATAGAGATGGATAGAAACAGATTCAACCCTCATATATATAATTAAATTTAAAAAAAACTACAAATACATAGAACAAGAATTCCCTCATGGTGCTTAAATTTTAAAAACTGTGAACATGGATGTGAAAACAAACAGTGGGGGGTGTAAGGAACTTGCTGGCAGCTGCTCAGTTTAGTTTCCACCTTCCTTACCTCCTTTGGCACCTGCAAAGAGACGGAGAGAACGTCAGGGCTTTGTTAGAAGATACTAATCCAAACCAAACAAAAACGTATTATTCCTATGGGTCAATTTATATTAATCCTCATTAAATAGTCACTTTTTTACACCTGCACATTTTTTATGATTGTTTTTATGATTGTGAATAAGATTATGCAAAAACTACTGGAAAAGAGGGCATTCAATTTCTGTGCAGATCCAGGAATGTTGCATTACTTTACTTTTAACAAAGTGAGATATAGTGTTTTTTTACAAATTTCAACAAAATACAAAAGTATGAAAAACAAGGTCTGAAAAGTAACTAAACCCGGACACCTCATAAATAGCGAATCCGATGGTGAAGAGGTTGGCGCCCATCTTGCGCTCTTTCCGCCTGTTCTTCTGCATCAGAGCCACCACGAAGGTGCAGCTCACCTCGTTGTCCTCGGGATCGTCGTCCTCCTCCAGCAGACGCAGGCGGTACTGAGGGTTGGTCCAGAAAGTGTCTGCAGCACAGAGAGCGAGGGATTTATATCATCCTGGAGCATTAACACTGTTTCAGACCTGATCGCACACTCTAAATTTTAAAGTATGCAATCATTACCCTGCTCTACTCTTTGTGAAGGTATGCATCTCGCTGAAAGCAGTAAACCTTTCAATTATTTTCATTTTCAGTAGTTTTACCTGGATAGTTCCTGCAGCCTCCGGCGGAGCAGCCTCTCACCCAGCGGCCCTCGTTCACAGAAACCGTCCACTTGTGGATCTTATCGTCCTCCAGGGCATCAGGGGTGAGGTTGCAGATCTCAATCTTGGTGTAGTTCTTCTTGAAATCCTCGAATGACATCCTGGAACGGAAAGAGGAACCATCAGGACGGGACGGACACGCGGATATTATCTCAGAAAAGCTGCCGTTGAAATGTGAGCAACACACACCTGAGTGGCTGATTAAATGCTGGTTGTCTCTTTATGTAACTTTTTTTATTTTCCTATTCACTGGATTTACTCTTGAATAAAAAAAAATCTGCAAAAACATAAGAGCATTTCTGGAATCCTCATTTCACAACAGGAATACAGTGGAGCTTGAGTTTTTCTAAATCGGGGGCCATGATGGGGCCACATTAGTGAACAGGGGTTCTCCAGGGGCCAATTCAAATTGGATCTGCCCTAGAAATAACAAAAAAATAAAAATGAGCCGCTCACCAGAACTCTCCGTCCTCTGCGCTCTGGTGCTGCAGCTTCTCCTTTTCAGTCTTAGACAGCGTGGCCCACTCCTTAGAGCTGAAGGGAAGAAAATAAATCCAAGTTCAATGTTGTAATCGTTCAAAAAGATATAACAAGTGAACCATCGTCAGAGTCCAGCTCCAGTGGAGACTGAGAATAAAGGATTATGGGTAAAGATGGTTAAAAGGGCCGTACTTGTCACTCCAGGGGCCGTTCCACTCCACTTGACCCCACGGGTTCCTGAGACGCACCAGACGAACTTTAGAGTCCTTGTGCTGAGTCGATTTACACTGAAGGGAAACACACGGTTTCACCTTTAAACTCACGTCCACTCATATTGTCTCTGCTTGTGTTAAAGTTCTGGACACATTCATGAACCGTGACCTCGGAATGAGACATTGTCCTGTTCAATAACAAACTACCCACAATCCTGTCTGTTTTACCTCCTCCACCGCCGTCACAGAGTAGGCGTGACCCTTCACAAGACCCGTCACAGTCCGAGTCTCGAAGCGAGCAGGAACCAGGGACTGAAGGGAAAACAAAATATATAAATATGATAAAATATAACATTAACACAAGGAAAATACACCAATACCACAAATACATCCAGAATTATACACAGAAATACAACAAAACAGAAAATAGTGACATTAAAAAAGAATTCCCAAAGATTTTTAAAGAGTTCTACTTCTAAAATACTTCTAACTCCTCAAGTGAGATGAAGATTTGAGACTCACATCGATGGAGCAGCCCATCAGGGAGCCTCTCTCCAGAGCCTTCTTCATGATCTTGTAGAGCTCTTTAGGAGCTTCCTTCATCTCGTAGAACTCAGTGACTCCACCGGTGAAGTCCTCCATGGCCTCGGTGGTGTTTCCACCCTTCAGGGCCTCGTAGGAGCCGTGAAGTCTGGACAGGGAAGAGTCCAGAGGTCACATTTCATTCTTAATTCATTTAGACACTAAAGTGAAGAATCATCTGGGTACAGCGTAGTGATGGAAGCCTTCCATTTTACAGTTTAACCATAAACCCTACAAACGATTAAGTAATAAACTCATATCTTTCGTAAAATATTAATATATGCAAAATTCAAATCTTCATATCTGCAATCACATATTATCTTTATTATATTATTGCCCAACCCATAAATCGGTTTATCCAGAACCTCTCTCTCTCTCTCTCTCTAGTCAAACTATATTCTGCTCGCTCACTTGGCGTAGGCCTTCTCCAGCAGCGCGCTCCAGAACTCGTTCCTCTCGGCCGACTTGGTGAAGACCAGCTGGTTGTTGAAAGTTGGGATGCGGTCGTCAATGACGACATCGACCCAGTCGCCATAGCGCCAGAACTAAAGGACAGAAAAACAAACAACAACTGTCAACACTTGAGTCAAAAGCTCATTTGACTTCAGTTGATGAAACGTGGACTGAATCTCTGCTGGGACATGGAAGTTTTCTGACCTGGAAGTGGAAGATGCCGGCGTAGCCTTCAGAGAAGCTTTGCTCCTGGGGAACAACACGATAGAGGAGCTTCTCGTTTAGGGTGAGACAGGCGATGGCGGCCAACAACCAGCAGTCACCTGGACACAGAAAATCATGAAACAACTGAACACAATTTCAACCACAGCGGGGGGGGGAGGGGGGTTCAAAATGTGGGAGAAGATCAAGACGTGAAGTGTCTGCACTGATACGAACTTGTATCTATGTCTCCACAAGAAAACAGCTGCCGTGTGATTTCACTTGATGAAAAAGTAAAGAGCGTCTCGGAGGCTGTGTTTTGTTGTGCTGGAGGAAACGACCTCCGCTGAGCGCTGACGTGCTCAGTTTTCTGATTGTCCAGGTGTGTGACAGAGCGTCAGCGGCCACTGGGAACAATGTAAGTTTTTCAACGGGGACCGGTTAACAGCGTCTGCCAGGACCTTTGTCCCTTTGGTCCCCCTTTATTTGCAGACTGAACTGGACAACAATGAGAAGTGCTGCTGGTTGGATTCCCTTCCAAAAGAGCGAGCACAATATGGGGAGGCCGCTGCAGGCCGGGAGGCCGTGTGCGGGGGGGATTGAGGGGATATTTGCTCCCCTGTTATCCCCCCGAGCTTCCTGAATACAGACGGACTGAATGTTGAATACGCGATGATCATTCGGCTCCGTCCTTGTCTGTCCACGCAGAGTTAGTTTTCTCTCAAAAGCTCTTTCTGTGTTTCAGTCATAAAGGATTTTCCTAACTCCCCTTTCTTTCTTCAGGCCTTGCTCCAGTAATTCTAGTGATCGGGTTAAATTTGTTTTTAATTCAAACATTTTAAACCTTTGGGTCGATCTTAAAATCCACTGATCCAAAAACATCCACTTCACAAAATGAAGGAAACAAGTGATTACCCAGATCCCCCTGGCAGATGTCCGTCCTACTGGCTCCTCCGACAATGAACTGAGGGTTCTCGCAGATTTCCTGCAGAAAATAAACACACAGAGGAGTCAAGGATCAATCTCGGATCAGCAATTAAGTCAGTGAACAGATTGTAAAACTCTCAGAGAGGAACCTGCGATTACAGCCGTCTTTTAATTTGTAATAAAACATCCATTACATTTGAACCATGAAGCCAGAGAAGAGGAAACAGATGCACAAATCTGTTGCAACTGGTTCACTTAATCCAATCTGTCCGTGCAGGGATGGGGGGATTTTCATCAGCTCTTCATCTCCAGGTGAAGTTAAAATAATCCCTGATATGAAGACGGAAGGAAACAGTGTCCATGCAGGATTGATGCTGCTGTGAATTTAAAAAATAACGCCCCACCTCCCACATGTGATCCTTCCCATCTTTATTAAACTTTGCCATCAATGAGCCTCTTCCATGGGCCAACCTGGTGGAACCCCCCCCCCCACTCCTACCTTGGGCCTCTTCCAGACGATGTTCTTGACCTTGTTGGACTTGTGTCCGAGCTCTTTGAAGCCCAGAGACTCCACGGTGGCCGGGAAAGACTCATCCTCGAACGGGTTCTTCCTCTGAACGCACTCCTGTCTCAGGACGCTGAAGTCCTGGCCGTTGAAGCGGAGCGGCTTGTTCAGAGACCCTTCCCCGTCCCTCCTCTCTCGTTCCCGGATCAGCCGGTCGCAGAAAAAGCCAGACGGTGTGTAGGGCATCTCGTCTCAGTTGGCTTTTTCTTTCAAAAAAAAAACTTTTGCCACAAGTACTAAAGTCTTACAAGCCTAAAAACCCTGGCATAAATCCAAACAGCTAATGTCTGATTGGCTCTCTCTGCGTGTGACGTCCCCCTTCCCTTCGTCACAGAGCAGATGCAAAAGGGACATTCACTCCACATGCATTCACCTTTGCACATACACATGCACAGAAACTCACACATCACATAAACGTCTATTTGTCGCGTTCCCATTGGCCACACCGGACAATGATCTCCTCCCTGGCCGTGGTGCTGCGGTGCCATCATTGTTGGGTGACACAAAGGCCAGTGGGCCGCGCCAGAGGGCATGTAAAGAGTGGTGGGTAGATAACTTGCCTCAGCAGAAGGCATTCAACCCCTTTAAACCTATTCTCAATGGAGCTCAGCATTGAGCAGTCTCAGCATAACCAGAGCAGGCGACTGCCACGAAGAGGAGTATCATCCATTTTTAGCACCAGTCGGAAAAAAGCAACTTCAGTGTGATGTTTTGGAGACGACAACAAATCCACTGCCAGCGTGTTTAATGTGTTCAAATGACAAGTTACCTTACGAATGAAATCCTGGCAGAAGAATCACAGAATACATCATTTGTGATATGAAACATTTCCGCCCAGAATCCACCAGTAAACATTTACTAATCTCAAAGAATCCAAATCAGTGCACATATTTTACTACAGTCAAAGTCTTGTGCATCTCATCCAACCAGGCAAGAACATCTGGTCCCTTCATCTCCCTCTGTTGCTGTGTTGTGAAATAACCAAACGTTAAAGAGTGTTATTACAGAATATTAGGATGTGACAGTGACGCTGACCTTTGACCTTCATCATTTCATCCTATAAAGACATTTATGTGACATTTTGTCATAAGTTAGTGAGGTCAACGTGACCTTTGACCTTCCACCACTAAAATAAATTCATCTTTGAGTCCAATTTATGGACATAAGGGTTAAATATAATATAATATATATGTACAAATTAAAACGTGACGCCTCCAGCCAGAGGATGATAAAAATCATCTTAGAGCTCATTTGTATTTTATTCCTCATCATGTATTAAATTCTCCATCTCTTCTATCACCATATATTTTCTTATCTTCTTCCTGTGAAACAAAAACGACATTCTCCTTTGTGATAACTCTTGTTCCAAATCAAACGCCATCATTCCCGGTGAACAAATATTTGTACAAGCACATGCTGCAATGGCTCTTTAGTTTTATTTCAGACTCATCATCAGTATAAAAATAAAATCCTCCTACAGTGATTCTTACACGCTGCAATTTCCTTGTAAAGTCTCATGAAGGAATTAAGCTTATTCCAGCGTTTCCCGTTCTATTGTCATATTTTGTGTCGCTCAGCAAACATCTGCTCCAGGAAGATGTCAGGTCACGCAACACAATATAGTGAAACCATGACGACATGTTTAAAACAAAGGAGTCTGCTGCAGCGAGCGACATTTGAAACTGAACATCGTTTATTGAGGAAACTTTCACAACATTGCTCCAAAACATGAAACTCCTGATCGTGAATATTACAGTTTTTTTCTTCAAGTAAAATAAACTTTCACCACGGCTTCACTCTCATTCACTTTTTCTCAACATTACAAACTAAAATATAATTAGGAAAGAATAATGAAATATATAAAATGTTCTATTGAAGGTGCAGTTCTTAATAAACAGGAGTAAAGTGTATAAAAAGTGACAGTTCCTGCTCTACGGTCGTTTGCTTCCATCAACCGGTGCAGTTTCAGTCGACATGCATTTTCTTTCCTCTCATATGAGCTCACCGTGAACTTTGACCTTTTGACCACTGGAATCACTTCGCCTTTGACCCCAACTGAACATTTGAACCCAATTTGAAGCAGTTTAAATGTATTTTGATGTCCTCCTCCTCCTCCTCCTCCTCCTCGCCTCTCCTGTCTGCAACAAACACATCCAGGCGACGGACACGAGCACAGAGAACCTACAGTATCTGAATCTCCCAGTCCGTCACCACTCTGAGGCTCAGGCTGGTCACTGTCAGTCTGCAGCAGGTCTCCGTGTACTGAAACTCAGCAGAGGTGTCCTCGGAACCTGGTGATCAAAACATGGATTTATTCTCTTTCACACTTAAGAGGCTGCTTTTTATAATTTTAATGAACCAAATAAAGCTATAACACTGTGATGATCGTTTTCACGATGCTGTCTGCGGAATTGTGAGTTTATACTTTTACAATATTTGAAGAATAGAAGGAAAAGGGTGAATGAGACACATGATGATGTCTCTTTGTCCTCCAAGATATAAAATGTTTAAAACAGTTTTAGCGTCTTTAATGCACCTTGAAATGCACCTGTATCATACCGCGTTCCCTGATTTAACCAGACTTCATTCTTTGAACCTTTACCTAAACGGACACTGTCAATGTTCCGTGTGACCTTCTCTCAGGCTGTTTTTAATTCTCATCATCATCCTGAACCTGCACGGTGTGAATTCCCAGAGATCCTCACCTGACTGGTGCACAGTCACGGTGGACGGTTTGCTCTTCATGCCCAGGATGGTGACGGAGTGTACAACAGTATCACAGTCGAATGCTCCTTCTTCACTGGCGGCACTGAGAGAAGCAGAGGTCAGAAGACTTAGAAGGAGTTTAATAAACCGTACTCAGTGTATTTTCTACATTCGTGTATGAATTTTTGAGTTTGACAAAAACGTGTCTAGTGAGTCTGATCTTGAGTCCAAGAAAAAGGTTTGTGCCAGATGTTGACGACATACGAATGAGATGTCACGTCGTGGCGACCTCTGACCACCAAAATCCAATCTTTTTAATAAAGGTTTGTCCAGATTTGAAGATATTCCACAGACACGGTGCTCATGAGAGCCACTGTTCCACGCGGTCTAAAACTGTGTCCCTCTGATGTTCAGGAGGAGGGAGTGTGACTCACCGGCAGAGCAGCCGGCCTGACAGCATGTTAAACCTGCGCAGACAGAAGGCCTTTCTGTGGAGGTAGTTGAAAGAGTGGCCGTCGTCCAGGTACAGCTCCCCATCAGCAGCCCCCTGCGGAGAGGAGGGGCCGCAGCCTGAACTTTACTAATTTAATTACACAAATGTCAGAAGTCGGAGCAAATAAATAATAAATCCTGAGTTCATTCAAGTAGTTTTTAGACATCCTGAGATATATTTGTATTGGGTTATAGTTTTCCTGCTGTATTCTCACATCGGCTCACTCTGACAAATTCCAGACATTTTAACGGAGCAACTGACGCAGACATTCTCCTTCTCATGTACAGCCCCACTGGAACATTTCAGGAAAATGTCCGGCCTTCATTGCTTTAGTGAAAACGCAGGTAAAAACATTTCAGCAGCTGCACCCGTGTATGAGAAAAAGATAAATCAAGACAATAACCAGCTGACTTTCTCCATTTCTTATTACAAAATGGAATCAGTAAAATTATTCCATTGGATTCTACATTGGTTACTTTTTTTGGCTTCTCCTCTGATTGTTACCTGAGGGTCCAGAGCCACAGTGATGGAGAGCGGGAGCAGCTGGAGATCAGCTGAGCAGTGGCTACTTCCTGCTGACCTGCAGATCACCGAGCCGCCACGCTGGAACACAGGAACCTGGACAGAAGAAACAACTCTCCTCCATAATATGTCATCGCAAATAATCAAACAGGATAAATTGTAGATGAGGTCTCCACCTTAATGTTTGCCTGAGTTAAAATAAAGCTTGAATGAATGGATGATTCAGAAAAGGTATTAAAACAAATGAAACTACTTTTGATAATAGTATAAAAAAGAATGAATATGAAAACTTCTGTCAGTCCCGTCCATGTTATAGCCCCCTCTACTGTTTGGATCGTGGTACTAACTGTGTCCAGGGTGACAGGAAGACTCAGAGTCCCGCCTCCTTTGTGCATCTCTGCAGATTGGACATCAAACCAGATCTGAAACAAAACCAAACCTTCATGTAAAATCCCCTCTGAGGTCTGATGGGAATATTTCTGTATGTTGCCCGGGGGTTTGTTTACCTCATCAGATCCAGGAAGTAACACTTTGACTTCCTGAACACCAGGATCAGTGACGGGACACGCCAGCAGGGCTCCTCCTGCGTGAAATCAGAGATGGTTAAACTCCGAACAACACAAATCCAATGATTGCAGGACACAATGTGTAATCAAGTGAAATGATCACCTATCATATGTTGGTTGTCCACACTGAAGGTGCTTCGTTCTCTGGGGAACTCCACCCACAGCGGTCTGTATGAAACAAACAAAATCAGCGTTGATGTGACGCGAGTGCATCAACTGACCAGCAGACGACAGCGACACTCACCTGATCGGAGGCAGACCAGAGGTGTGAGCCCGGTGGAACAGAGTGTACCAGTAGGGCAGCAGCTGATACCTGAGCACACCAGACACTTGTCACAGCAGGTTAGGTTCATGACAATAGATCAACGTCCGTACTACTGAACAACCTGATCACTGGAAAACCAGAGTGACTGATGGACTGTGTCGTGTCGGAGTTGGTACCTCTGTCGGATCACCGTGCGGATCGCAGCGGTGACCTCCTCTCCAAACAGCCAAGGCTCCCGGCGCTTGCTCACACAAGCAGAGTGACCACGGAAAAACGGCTGCAGGGCGGCGGCCTGGTACCAGCGCACCAGCAACTCTGGATCTGGATCCTTGAAAAACCCACCAACATCAGCTAAAGCACAGAGGACAAAGGAGATCAGCGATTTAAAATGTGAGATTCAGCAGTTGCATGAAAGTAAAATAGCATAAAAGCAGCTCATTGCAAAGAGCGCAGGTCATTCCTGTACTTTAAGCTGATTGACTAGTTTTAAGTTAAACGACTCCTCCCACCTCCGCAAAAACCGACGCCTGTCACACTGAGAGACAACAGCATTGGGATTGAGATCTTCAGATACTCCCAAGTGGCAACGTTATCACCCGTCCACACTGCACCTGTACAAAGAAAGCAAAGGATAAAACCATGAATGCAGGAATATACATTTGTCCATTTTAAAGAACTCACCAAGTCTCTGTGACCCAGCGAAGAAGGAGCGCGACAGGACAAAAGGTCTCTCTGAGCCCCCGGAGCGAGTTATCAGACCGTCCACTGTGGCCATGTGCTGTGAACCAAACACAAGTCGTCTCGTGAAGTGACCCCGGAGACGAGAAGCTGCGATTGTGCACGACTGCCTCAGGGACTCAGTTTGGAAACACGTCAACAAATTGGATAGAAAAACGAGATTCGAGAGCGTATGGTGACACGGGACTGTAGAGAAAAAACAAAACCTATCGGGTCTTTAACAGAGCTCACGCAGCTGCACAACGGAACGGTGGATATTACCCATGATCCTCAGCTTCCTGAACCAGAATAGCTGAACACACTCACCAAAGTTACATAGAGACGTTCAGGGTGAGGAGTGAGAATGAAAAGAGGAAACATTCTCTTTACTCACAGGGTCAAGGTTTCAGATTTAAAGGAAAGAAACATCCCAAAAGAAATCAGGAAGATGTTAGAGTTTGACCTGTGTAGAAATAAACTAAATGAGGCCACTCACCTGGTAAAAACCATACAGGTTGTGCAATTCCCGATGTTCCCAGCCCCCATAATGCACCGCGTCCTTCGGCATGGTCTGCTCCGGCCCACTGAACACTGACGGTTCGTTCATATCATTCCACAGAAATAAAGACGGCGTTGATCCCTGCATCGGACATGAACACATCAGCGGGATGGATTCGGGGATTATCGATCATTGATACACTTACTTTGTACTTATCCAGGGCGAAGCATCTGGAGTACCATGCTCGAGTGTCTGGGCGGCTGAAATCAAGGTAACAGGACTCACCTATGAGAAATGTTTATATGGATGGTTATCAAAAAGCAAAAATACAGTACAGAGAAGATATGTTGTAAATGGAGGTGTTATAAAACACCACGTAGAAATCTTACCGTGGGTATAAAGACGTTAACTACTATAAAATATTGAATTTATGTTTTTTAACTTCATGTCGGAGGAAGCTTACCGGGCCAGCATGAGCCCACATAGAGCTGTCCCTCTCTGTCCTTGACAAAATGTCCACCGTCCCTGGCCTCGCGGTACAGTGACCAATCAGGATCAGCTTTGAAGTGGGGATCACTTATAACAACCAGCTATAGAAAACATACAGATACACACAGTGAATACCCAGAATGAATTCACTCATAAAAGAAAGGAGAAACCTGCTCTACAAACTGTGCAACCTGAAACCCACCTTCCGGTTCTTCTTCTTGAGGTGGAGCTGCAGACGGGCAGGTTCAGGAAAACAAACGGGGTCCCAGGTGAAGTAACGTTTCCCGTCCGTGTGGTCGATGTCCAGCCACATGACATCGTAGGGGATGTCGTGACGATCAAATCCAGAGTCTACAGCCCTCACATCAGCTTCATCCTTATAGTTCCAGCGGCTCTGGTGGTACCCGAGGGCAAACAGAGGGGGAAGGGTTTGATACCCTGACAGACGGGGGAGAGAAATGGTCAGGAAGTAGAGTTCAACATCACGCAGGATCTGGACGTGTGAAATTAAAAACTATCCGTCTGAGATTGTTTTAATTTACTTTGTGAGAGAAGAAGTTCCATGAAAGTTCATTCTTTCCTTTTATACACAAATAAAACTCACCTGTCAGCTGAGCGTACTGGCTGAAGAGCTGCTGTGGACTGGGCCCGAGCAGAACCACACAGTCGATCACGCCGCTCTCCGACAGCCAGTGGACGTCAGTCTGAGGCTCCCTCCACCTCCTCTGTATCAGGGGCACTTGTTCATCCTGGTGAGGTACAGGGGGCAATCAGGTGGAAATGAAAATAGACTTTATAAACAGATGGACGAAATGACGAGTGAGGCCAGATCGTTTGAATTGATGGTTTCTGTAATTATTTATTCTAATAATCCTGCGTCCAATTGTTATTATGAGCAAGAGGATGATAGAATTATTTCAAGAGGCTGACAGACACTGTATGACGACAGCACTGTGACCACGGTTTACCTGCTGGTCACTGGGACTGTATCGTATGTTCACAAACGTCTCAGATGCATTTTGCCAAAACACACCCAGGGTCCTGTCCAGTTTGTGGGCCACCAGCAGCGGCACGGACCCGTACAGGCCAAAGCGACTGTACAGGTCATAGGCGAACACATCCAAGTTATAGAGCCGGTAAGGTTCATCATCTCTGTGAAATCAAACACATTTTTTTAAAAACTAGAATTGTGAATGTATGTGTAAAGAGATGAAAACATGAATCACATGTTTAGCTGCCGTGTGTACCTGGTGTCTCTGAGCTGCAGGCTGTCGGCATGTTCTGGAAGACCGTACACGTGACTGAACCCGTGAAGACAGAGGTCCGCCCCAATGCTGCTCGGGCCTGGACACGCACAACATCTTATCTCATGATGTTAAAGAAAGTGAT